TAAGACCTGAGAAACAAGAAGGAATCAGCTAGGAACTGAGGCTGGAAAGGTAGGTTGAAGCATGATTGAATAGCCCTGGATGCCAAGTTAATGTATATGAATTTTAGAGGTGAACTAATAAGACGAAAATGTGGCCATTTAAAACATTTTTAAAGGAAACACTCTTAGCAGAAATAGAGAGGAAGGAATGAACTCTTGGAGAGGAGACTGTTATATTGAGAGGCTGTTGTAATAACCCAAGTGAGATACCATGAAATAGTCCAAGGTTTTACCGAGACACCTAGCTTAGGAGACCAGGTAGGTAGATGATGTCTACACTATAAGACTGAGAGAACACAGGCAAAGCTCAAGGAAAGGGAAGCAAAGACTAAAAAGGGGGAAAAATAAGAGAATGGTCTGATGAGAGACACAGAAAGGAGAGATTTCTGGAAGGAGAGGCAATTAAGGTTCAGACAAGGGGGAAAAACATCCCCAAGACCACTTAGCTCTTTCAGGGAGGACTCAGGCCCCCTATTAAGTGTCTTTGCTATTAAGCTGTGTTACTTCTCTCTGGTGGCTTAAAACATTTTCTGGTTGTAATCAACAGACCCAACAGTCACTGTCCTTACCTGCTTTTTGGACAAACAAGCCTGCTCTTTCATCTCTTTTCTGGGCCGCTGTACGTTCAACCAGTTTTTCAAACCCATTTAGGGCTGCCTTGAAATTGTTCATCTGAAGTGCAGCATTGACATGCTTGTCCTCACTGGCATCCATCGGGACGCAGGGAATCTTTTATTTCTGTACAGGGAAAAGAAAGCAAATTTGCCAACTTGGAAAACCTCCCAGTTGTTACATTTCTTTCTTGCTGTCTCGAGTGCCGCCCTGGGTCCCATTCCTTTGATCGTCAAGTCCCATTCTGTGGGCAGGAGTACAAGCTGCCGCTAGGATGTTGGCAGGGAGGAGCCCGAGAGGTCTAAGGCATGTGACACAGGCAAACATTTCAGTAAAATTCTGACCTCACAATGTTACCAGTGTTCTTCATAGGGCACCCGTTGCATCACAATATCTCTGTAATATGCTCCTTCCTTTGTAAGGAGGAGGTTGAGATCTATTTTTCCACAAATTGTGTGTGTGTGGTGTGTACACTGCCAGAGAAGGAAGAAGGGGTGAAGACCAAGAAAGGAAACTGGGCATGACTTTCTCCCTCCTCTATCGGCTCTCAAATCCTCTGCCTTCCTCCTGCAGACACCGTGGAGAGTAACACTCTTGCAGCTGCACCGGGTACGAAAGCATGAACTTCTAAAGATGAAGATGTTATTTCAGCCCTGGCTGGTGTGGCTCAGTTGGTTGAGCGCTGTCCCATGCACTGCATGGTCACCGGTTCCATTCCCAGTCAGGGCACATACCCAGGTTTCGGGTTCGATCCCCTGCCGGGGTGCTTACGGAAAACGATGTTGCTCTTGCACATCGATATTTCTCTCTCTCCCCCCTTCCTTCCACTCTTTCTAAAAATTCATGAAAAAAACACATATTTTTAAAAAATGTTATTTTAGCATCTGTCCTTTCTATCACAAATGGAGATATTTTTAGAGGTCATGAAGAATAAAATGACTCTTATTTCTTTAGGTATTGCAGGGGGCAGCCCATCAATGACTCTCTCATCACTGATGTTTCTCTCTCTCCCTCTCCCTTCCTCTCTGAAATCAATAAAGAAATACTAAAAAAAAACCTAAAAAGAAACTGAAAAGATGGAGTTGTCATTCATTTACTTTGGGGAAGAAAGCTGGTGGGAGGAGCAGATTTGGGGGGACAATTAAGAGTTTAATTTGGGAGATGTTAAGTGGGAGATGTCTGTTAGATAAGCAATTGTAGATGTTAAGTAAGCAGATGGAAGAGAGCTTGAGCGTCATCACCGCTTAGATGACATTTAAAGCCATTCGACTAGGTGAGGTTACCTGGGATCAATGCAGATGAGGAAGGAAGAAAGCTGAGGACCGAACCCTGAACATATCAGTGTTCAGGTCAGAGTGATCCAGGAGCACCAGTGACAGAGACTAAGAGGTGTGGCCAGTGAGGTAGGAGGACCCAAGGGAAAGCTGTATCTCAGAAGCCAAGAGAAGAGAGTATTTTAAAAAGAAAGGGGGCCTTGGAGGGACCATTCCATTTATTCAACAAAGAAATTGCATAATGTTCTGGCTGGTGTGGTTCAGTTGGCTGGGCATCGTCCTGTGCACCAAAGGGTCACAGGTTTGATTCCTAATCAGGGCACATGCCCAGGTTGTCAGGGTGCCCACAGCAGCCACCGGAGGCAGCCGATTGATGTTTCTCTCTCGCATAGATGCTTTTCTCTCTCTCTCTCCCGTTCCTCTCTCTCTAAAATCATTTAAAAATGTATTGGGGGGGGAAGAAATTGCATAAGAAGAAAAATGGAGTGGGACATACAGATTTAAGAGAACTTTAAAGACATACCAATCAATCATTATGAATAAACTTTATTTCGATCCTGACTCCACCAAACTGAAAAATTACAACATTTATGAGACAATTGGAAATTGGAGCCCCAACTAGATATTTGATGATATTGAGAAATTGCTGTTTATTATTTTAGATGTATTATAATTTATGTTATATTGCTATTTATGTGACATTCTGTTTTAGAGCTGCATACTGTTCCGAAATATTTACAGATAAGCATTCAAATACAAAGGAGTGGTAAACTGTGCCAAATAGTGCTGGTAAATGAGGACTGAAAATTAAGCATTGAAATGTGGATTATGGAGACCTTGAGAAAAGCTATCTTAGTGGTACAGTGGATTAAAGAGAGTGGGAGGAGGGGACGTGGAGACAGTAGGTATAAATGCATATTATGGCACTGCTTTGGGGAACATCTTAAGAGTGTATGCTGGCACAATTCACAGCTATTATGGCTCTTTATGGAGCAACAGGATGCATTTGTACTATTTTCTCAATTGCAAAAATGATATAACAACAAATTTAAAGAACATTAAAAGCAATCACCAATGTTCCTACCATTCTTACAAAACTATTGATTTTTGAATTCCTCCTTCTAGGTCACATACTTTCATAACTGTATGCAGTTTCAACAGAAGCATGCACATTGTGTAAATATTAATGTATTATTTTATAAAGCTGGACCCATGATTCTAAAGTCCTTTATAAGTGTAATTTTTCTTCTTTTCCTTAATCAAATATTTTATTATTTTATTAATTACTTTTCACATATAAGTGATTGTAAAAGGTGATTGACATAAAAATTCAGAAGCAGACCTAGCCGGTTTGGCTCAACGGTTAGAACGTGGGCCCGCGGACTGAAGGGTCTCGGGTTTGATTCTGACCAAGGGCATGTACCTCGGTTGCAGGTTCAATTCCCGGCACCCATCAGGGACTGTGCAGAAGGCAACCAATTGGTGTGTCTCTCTCACATCAATGTTTCTCTCTCTCCTACTCTCTCTGAAAAGCAATGGAAAAAATATCCTCGGGTGAAGATTAAAAAATTTTTTTAAAAATTCACAAGCAATCACACCCCTAGCTGTGTAAGGTAAAGTAGCATTACCCCTTTGGAGAAAGGCTGTAGGAAAAAAATAGGTGGAATGGTTTCCCTGAGCAACTATGGCTTCAGCTTCTATGAGTCTCGTTAGAGCCGTGGGTGGAAGTCAGAGGGAAGGGCCATGACTCAGGCCTGTGGTTAGGTCACAGACATGGCCCAGGCACCGGCCATCTGGTAGAAACCCGATCAGGAGAATAGGTAGCTCTGCATTTTCTGCCTGAGTTCACCAAGGCCAACTCCAGTTCTCAGGCCTTCTCTGGGCTGAAATGAGGATTCTGAGTTGATGCATGTGACCAAAGAGAGGGGGCAGAAGTTTCAATGGGAAGGACACTGGCTGACCAAGTCCTGGGAAGAATCTGGGCCATGCTGACGCAGGCATTTTCAGGATAAAAACATGATACAAGAGCAAAAGGCATCTTGATAACACTCCTCCACGTGTCTCTCAAGTCACATTCCTGTAGCCCGGGCCGATCGATGCCTTCTATAACGTCACGGCATCACATTGCTGTCACACTGTTATCTTTCTTTGCAGTCATTTTGGGAATGCCCTTGTCTTCTCTCTTCTATTCTATGTCTTTCTTTTCCATAGTTTATGCCCTCATTTTGGTGACTCACATCAAAAATAGTATCTGGACGATAAATTTTTGATTCCTTGCATGTCAGAAAATATCCCTAATCTCCTCTTGCAATTTGATTGATGTTTGGTTGGGTGTAGAATTCTATGATGGAATTTGCTTTCTTTCAATATTTTGAAGGTCTTCTAGGGTTGCTGTTAAAGAAGTCTATTTTAATCAACTTCTCTTGCTGATTATAAGCTATTCTGATCTCTTATCCTTTGAACATAATTTGTTTTAATTTTTTAAATCTCTCCCCACACCCAGTCAGGAAGCCTGTAAATGCTCTCTTTGACCCAAGTGTACCAAAATTTCACTATATAATGGATATCAAAGTAGAGATTATATATATATAAAAGCTTCATGGACCAGCTCCTTCTAGAAAGTGACTGCTTATTCTTCCCTAACTACTTAAGGCAGGTTCCTTAGTTGGTTGAGGAGACCCTTAGGGAAGAGAAATTTCCAGAGTAGTCAAGGTGTGATGATTTTTCCACTTATTTCCACCCAGTGGGGACCGAAGGGGAAAGACTGGGCTGGCCAGTTCTCCACAGCAGACCATGTCCAGAATTTGATGGAGCAGGGCTGTGTACATATTTCCAGAGAGCCAGATGCTAGACTCTGAGTAGAGGAGCCAAACTGGGTCATCCTGGGAGGGACACAACTGGAGATGGGCCTGTAAGGTCTAAAGGGACCCTAACCAGGGTGTGAAAGGAGACCCAAGCAGCCAGCTGACAAAGGCATCGCCCCTCTCAAGGGAGTTTCGTGAGAACGATCCCCAGGGACTTCAGGTCCTCTAGAGAACTCACAAGTCACCCTAGATGTCAAAATTCTTATGCATTTGCCCAAAATACCTTATTCCCTTTTCTTTCACTGCTATTACTCTCACAGGGTGGTTGCGCTGGACTTCACTCTGATAGAGTAGAAGCCAAAGTCCTTTTATTAAAATGCCCAAGGCCCTGCATGATCTGGCCAATCACTAGTCACCCACCTCTCCGCCCCCATTTCTCAATTCTCATTCTGCTCCAGCCACATTGGTTTCCTTCGTTTTTCTCCAACATGCCAAGCACAGTCCGGCCCCAGTACCAGCAGTGAGGTTATTCGTGACACCCTGTACAAAATAACCACCTCACCTGCTCTCCCAACATCATCACAATTTAAGCTTCATAAGGGTAGGGACTCAGCACCAAAGAATGAATGAATGAATGAATGAATGAATGAATGAATGAATGATGAATGAATGTTTTAGGAAAAAGTACAGTGAGTCCTTCTTTATTCATTCACTCAACTAATATTTATTGAAAACTTATTGTAGACTAGACACCATGTGGAAAACGCAGTGGGCGTTAAACATACAGCACTTGTTAAGTGGTCGTATAAATCTAAAATATAAAATTGAATGAGCTTTTTAAACAGGTGGTTGCGTTAGACAGTCTCATAGCTGACAAATCCAAGCTGGAAAGACTGAAATGAAGGTTTTGAGGGCAGAGCCCACTGCTCCTCACCGATTGCTCCATGCACCAGGGTGGGGAGCGGGCTATTCCTTGAAGATTAGGTTTTATCTCCAGGGAATTGGGGGGGCGGGGGTTCATCACAGGTCTTTTAAACAGAGGTGGGAGGGGTAAATGCCCTCATCCTCAGGGAGGGCACCTCCTTGGTCCTTCCACAAGCACTGTGCTGGTCACCAGTGCCCAGGGCGGCCTGCAGGTGGGGCTCAGGACTGGGGTCCCCCTGTTAGGGACCGACAAGGCAGCGGCCCAGGCACTGTCCCTGCAGTGTGATCACGTCCACACTCTGTATTTGACTTGTAGTCTATTTTCATCGCTGCTGGGGAAAGGCCAAGTGGAAAACGCGTGCTGCTCTAAAGAGAGCACCTACCTACCTCTCCATGGCTGCTAGGTGTGGGCTGAAGCTGGGGGGCTGGGCAGTCCCCACTACCAGGGCGCATCCACCGCAGCGCCAGGAAACACAGCTTAGCAGCCCGGGGTCCAGCCTGGGGCTGCCCTGACCGGTGACTCGGCGACAGCGCTGCAGGCGAGCTCCCCGGGCAGGCGACACGCCCGGGCGGAGGCCCTCACCCAGCCCCGCGCTTGGCACAGGGGAGGCGCAGGCCCCAGTCCACGCTTAAGGCTGAGTGTGAATTCGCGAGGGGGTGAGTGCACGCTCGGGGCGCCTGCGGGCCGGGAGGGGAGGCAGGGCGTGGGAGGCGGTCCCGGCGGCTTCACCCTCCCGGGAGCGCGCTGGGGGGGCGGGGGGACCTGGCCACCGTTGGGACCGGGAGAGCGTGGCACCCGGGCCTGGAGGCGGGGCT